GTACACCATTTGCAAGAACATCATTCTAGCTCCCAATAAAGCCAATTCATATTTTAGCAAAGTACACTACCTAGCTATCAAGGACAACACTTGTTGTAAACTAAGTAAAGTCACAACACTTTGGAACCACAGAAGCAACATAATAACCACTTACAAATTATAAAAACATAGTATTATAACACATAACACACATAGAAGCAATTTATGTATAACAGGTATTGACACAAAAACACTTACAAAATATATACCTATATAAAATTTTTTTTTTTTTTTGATATGTATTTAGGTGCTCCCAGAAGTCCTTACGGTTTTATCATAGAGCACCGCGGTTGAGCATTTAACAGGAAGTTCACGCCTCCTTCCTTACCAATGTCACTTGTTGGGCTAGAGTTGGCATCAAACCTCAGAACTCTGGGTTCTGAGCCAAAACTCTAATCACTGCTTCATGGCAGCTCAACCTTAACACAAATAAACACATACTTAATTTATATTACCTCATTATGTGATAGATAAAAATACTTAAATATATAAACTAATAAGGATATATAAATTGGAAAAATTTACAAATACCTTATTTGTGTAATATTTTTTCAATAATATACCTTTTATAGCATGTTTATCAACTTAAAAAGTAAAAAAAAAATCAGTATAAATAGGTTTATTGTAGCAACAGCTGGCATTTTAGTAATATCAACTGGATTTCTGATAACATTACCCGGTCTCCAAAATCAATTTTTTTTTTTTGTTTAAATAATTAAAAAAAAACTGGTGTTTAAAGAGATCCCAATCTTCCGAAACATGTTGAGTTCATATTGAAGAAAATAATAAAAAAAACAATATTTGAAGATTTTATTTGATTAAAACAAAAGAATAAATGAATACTAAAAAAAATTAACTTTTTTGTTTAGTTAAAGCTCGCCTCCTGCAATTTATTGTCGGCCGAAAAGTCTGTCGCAATCTTCAGACTTTATAACAATGGGGTGCAACTCTGCAAAATTTGCATTAAATTCGTGTAATTGCTGACGCAAAGGCTTCTGGGATGGGTAGTACAGTCTAATTGTAAACATAAACAACAAAATACAACTTAAAAAAATTCAATATATACTTTTCGCATGATTCAGCTGATTTTTATATATATATTTTTTAAATTATTTTAAGTTGTCAAACTGAGTACAGAATACTAAACAATGTCTGCTGGATTTTGCGCAGTTCCTAATTGTCATCATAAACGAGGAAAAAAATGTTGATAAATGTGTGTCATTTTTTCGCTTTCCTAAAGACAAAAATAGGTTAGTATCTGTTTTATTATTGATTATATATATATATATATATATATATATATATATATATATATATATATATATATATATATATATATATATATATATATATATATATATATATATATATATATATATATATATATATATGTATATATTAGTTTATTTCAGATATAGGCAGTGGGCTACCGATTGCCTCGCAAAGATCTCGACAAAAAATCTTTATTAGAACTAAATAAATCATACACTCTATGCAGTAAATATTTTGAGCCAACACAGTATTATCCAACAAATATTGGAGACAAAAGAGCAATTTTAACAGCAATTCCAACCCTTTTTGATGTACCGAATCCTCCTCACAATATTTCTGTTTAAAAAAAAGCACCTTCAGAAAGATTTCTTCTTCAGTTACACAAAAAAAGTAAATCAATTACTAATGAACAGTTTGTAAAGTTAGCAGTTTGTTTTAGTACAGACACTACCAACTCAGAAGATTTAAATATAAATGATAAAGCTAAAAAACAAATGTTAAATTTTTAAAAAGTAATTAACTTAAATCGTGTTAAAAATTATCATTTAAACAAAAAACTATTGTTTTTAAACACATAATATCAATGCAATGGATCTATTGAACATATATGTGAATTCTTGCAAAGAAATACCTTTCTAAAAACCAGATTAAACTTTTTGAGAGTCAACTTAGAATAAACAAGCGTACAAAATATGGAGAAAGGTGGACAAAACATAACAAACTAGTTTCTCTGCGCATCTCAAATCATAGTCCACAGGCATTTCGTATTTTGAGGCAATTTTTTACTTTGCCAAGTACGACAACTCTTCCTGTTTTTTTGTCAAAAGCATTTGGAAACCTAAAGCCTGGATTTTCTGCAAAGGTTTTTGTTTTACTCAATATGCAAGTCAATTATGTGAATGTCAATGAAAGCAACTGTTGCCTTGTATTTGACGAGATGTCGCTCAAACAGCATATAGACTTTGAAAGAGATTTTGACCACATTATTGGTATTGATGAAGATGGGAAACCATTAAATCATGTTTTGTTTGTAATGGTTTAGGGGGTTTGCAATAAAGTGGAAGCAGCTGATTGCGTATTTTTATAGCAACAAACTCAATTCAATCAGTTAAATTATCACAAACAATATTAGAAGCAATAGATAAACTGAGAGTTGCTTGGTGAAGGTTTTCATTTTGTTTGCACATCACATTTCAATCAGGACTGTATAGAGAATTTTTTTTCGATTATAAGAAGTAAAGGTGGTTAAAATGACAGGCCAACAGCCAAACAATTCAAGTCTGCATACCAAAGTGGTTTACTACTTACTTCTGTTGAACAAACAAAATCTAATACAATGATTTGTCTTAATTTAGTAAATGAACAAAGTGATGTAGCGAATAACTCATTATTCAATGAACAAAAGTCAACTCACATAGGTAAAAAAGTTTCTTTATGTCAATTATGCAAAAATATTTTATCTCAACCATCTGCTGAAATCTGTGGTAATTTTGATGATTTTGTTTATACTAAGAAATATGAAACAAAAAATCATTCAGTAGAACCAAGTTTTTGTTTACGTGAAGTAATGGAAGCCATTTCCACTAACAACATTAATAAAAAAATTGTATGCAAAAATATAGCAGGAACTACCTTTAAAGCTATCAAGAAAGACTGCCATTTCGTTTTTTTTTACAACCTTCACCAAAAACATGCATCGCATTTGGAGAGAAAACTGATACACTATTTTTTTGATATTCGAATTTATTATTTCACAAAATTTTACTATGATGACATAGCTCCACGTTATAAAAAATGTCCTAAAAAAATGGCTCATATTACTAGTAAATAGTAAAAGATTATATTTATTTAAAAAATGTGTATTTATTTATAATGTACTAAATTGAAATAACATGTTCTAAAATCCTTTAAATTTTTTATATTATATATAAGATTAGGAAAATAAAAATAACATAAACATATATAAAAGTATAAAAAAAAAATATTGAAAACACATCAAAACTAGAAGGAACGTTTGAGTTGTTTTATACTATCTGAGCTCAATAAATAAATCATACAGCAGTTGTATATTTTTTGGCTCCTAAATAAAATATCTAAATATTGAAACATGAACAAAACTATAATATAGCCTTATTGTAGGGTTGTGAAATTTTTTTTTTATGTTTAGTTGAAACCCTGATTGCTGTCTACCTTTATATTTTAAACCTTCTAGCATACTGCAGAGGATAGTTAAGAATTGAAACGTACATATATTGAAAAAAAAAACAAGTTTATATAACTAATACGTTTACTTCGTTAGACAATGTAACATTTGTAACAATGTTACTTTGTTTAAATGATTGTTACAATGAGTTTTACATTGTTTGTAAACAGTGTAGCAATATACAATTTTAAAAAAGCTGTAGCATACAAGTATAAAATAGTATGACATTTAATTTATGGCATTTAATGTTTTTATTTTTGTTATACTTTGAACATTAAAAATAAAATTGAATGTTATTTTTTATTGTTCAAAATATAACAAAAATACAAGCTTTAAATGCTATAAAAAAATTTATACTAATATAATCAAGCGTTTTCAAAACAAACCATTTCGTTTACAAGTACAAAAAGATTGGTACTACATCTTAAAGCATTAATGTTTAAAGATAAGTAAAACCATCTTTACAAAAACATTGTTCTGCCAAAACGTATTTAAATACGTATTGTTGTTTACAAATCTAGCATTACTAGACATCCCAGATTTCCCGTTCGCCGAATTACAAGAAATCGAGCGAGTCGTACACCACTGCTTGATAATTTATTCAAGCGCGTTTTATTTTTAAGAGTTTTAGTACATGACGTCATTAACTTTTGTTTGTTTACATAACTAATCTCTTGCGCAAAAAAAATTAAATATTAAAATTAAAAACGCGCTTGAATAATTTATTAAGTCTCTAATTTTCGGCGCATATTATTGCGACTTTTAGGCCTTTTAAAAAACAAACTTTTGATAAAATTTGGCCTTTTAAAAAGAGTATCGTCTTCGAATTGTTAATAATAAAAAGCGCAGAATAATATACTTTAAATACAAATAATAAAAGAGTTAAACTATTTTTATATTAAAATGATTAAAATTTCCTGATTTCATTAGTTATTTTAGAGTTTTAAAATAACAAAAGGTTTATCTTTTTCTAAAAAATTAGTAATTGAATCAAAGAATTTTGTATAATAAAGAGGTTTTAGATCTTACAACTGATTAAGCACATATTAATAGACTATAAAAAAAAGATATTACTTGACTGGCAAGGACAACATACTTGCTCTAAACAAAACTTGCTCTAAGCAAAGTACAACACTTGGCTAGCAAGGACAAGACTCTTAATATAAACTAAGTCAAGTCATAACACTCTGAAACTATGGAAACAACATAATAACCACTCACAAACTATAAACAAAAAACGTTATAACACATCTAGGCCGTATGCAAGTATCTCTAAATGTAGCTAGAAATTAAGTTTCGTTGCTCAAACTTAGTGTCTAACTTTTAATCTTTCTAAAAGCTAAAATATAACTAATATGTTGTAAAAAGCATTTTTACAGATTTAACCTCATGACACTTCGAAATATTCGTTAGGGAACACGGGGGTCAAATTAAAGGGGGACGGCATGTTGTGCAAACAAGTTCTTTTAAGAAAAACAAAATAAACTTTTATTTTTACTCACATATATGAACAAATATTGAGTTATAAATAATGAACAGGTAAAAGTAGACATTTGTTTAACCATCGTAACCCCCCCTCCTCTCTATTTAAAAGTTATCTTCTAAAAGATTCACATTGTTGTTACTTTCATTTTCTTACCTATCTCGGAATCAGTGTTTATATCTGAACTCTGTTTCTTATTTTCGCAATTGTTTATATCTTTATATCTATAATTGTTATATTATTAAATTGTTTATCGCAGTGTTTATATCTGAACTCTGTTTCTTATTTTCGCAATTGTTTATATCTTTATATCTATAATTGTTATATTATTAAATTGTTTATCGCAGTGTTTATATCTGAACTCTGTTTCTTATTTTCGCAATGAGTGTATTTACAATGATCTGAACAATTTAAACTTCCTTTAAGGTAAGACAATTGGTTTGTTATGCATCCGATTTTGCAATTACAGCTAACAACATCAAGAATTGCATCAGACACTGGTGGGTTTTTTAGCCATAAAATATTTATCTGACCATTAGTAATTTGCCTAATTTCCAACTGGGCTCATAACATTAATCCATTGTGTCAAACATCTTTTCCATTTATAAGCAACATAGTTACCCCGATCAATCTGATTATCAAGGGCATCATTATTGGGAGGCATAAATTCTTCTCCGTACTTTCCTTTCTTAAAGAGTTGATAGCGAGCTTCGTTTACATCAACGGTATTCCATTCACCATATGCATAGCAGATAAACATTTTTAGGGTAGCACGTGTTTTTTTTTTTTGCAAACGGACTATCACCCAAATCACTAAAAGCTTCCAAAAATATTTCATTACTCTGCATTTGATTTAATAGCGAAACTTTCCCTTTTCCGAAAAATGCACTAATAAAATCGCAATCATTAAAGGCATAGAATCCTGGTAAAGAAAGGCAAGTTTAAGTACACCAAAAATGAACAACATTATTTTATGGAAATAAATTGCTGAAGGTTGAGTTGTCTAAAAGTAGAGATCGATTTTTGCTAACAAACATTTTACAAAAATACATTAAACAAACACATCTGTATCAGAGGACTTAACGACGATGTTCTGCTTTAATTTGGATGCATGTTGCTCATATAGCATGAGTCTAGAATCAGCTTTTTCGTAATCACATTTCAAATCAAAAAAAATTTTTAAATCTTTCTGTCAAAAGAAGTAAAACTATAACATTTATCTTCGTATGTAAATTACAAATCCATTTCTTTCCAACAAATAAACAAAAAGCAAACAAAAGTCTCTTTATTCTTTCCATTAGACATGAATTTTTTCCAAGGCCTGTATACTTTTTGATCTTTGTTATAGATAATGACGCTTTCTGATAATCTTTTACTATGTTCTACATATTTTATACTTTGCAAAGGATAAACGATCAGAAACAAAATCTACTCTATATGACTTATGGTAATGATCTTGTTGAATAACAATTTTTAAAACAATGTCGGCAACCTTTCCATATAAATCTGGCACATCAATAAGCCCCTGCAGGATTGCCATAACATCTAAATTAGGACATTAACTAAATCGGTTATTGGATCACTTGTCTAACTAAATCGGTTATTGGATCATTTAATAATTATAAATGAATATATATACCTGATAGGATATGTTTAGCACTAATATATTAATTTTTTCCAATGAGGAAAAGACGTGCAAATGTATTTCTATTCGCTTTTAAAGAAATTTTTGACCTTTTAAATTTTTTGTTTTAAAGTTTGATTTCAGCGATGAAAATGTTTTTAGGTTTTGTCGTTTCAGTGTTGTAAATATTTCTGGTGATTCACAAGCATTTTTATCTCTTAAAAATTTTTGTAACTAGAATTCTGCTTTAACAACGACTTCTTGTAAATCATTTTAAACATCACAAGATGCCACTCTTCCACTAGATATTTGAATGAGTTTAATTGATGGTAACGTAACGAAAGGATTCACCATATTATCAATTGTAGAAACAACTTCGATTAAAATTTCTTTATCGTTGCTTATCGATGTTTCTGTCAAGATTTTTACATTACCTAGAAATATAAAATAGTGGCATCAATTTGTTAAAAAATTAAAGCTACAAAAGCTGTGTCAAGCACAAGCAATTTATTAAACAAATTTAATTTTATTCACCGAAAGTACTATTGTAAAAAATCAAAAATATATTCACAAATCTTACCTCTGGTGTTGTTAAATTCTAGCAAACTATTTGCAGTGTGCAGTAATTTGTAATCAATGAGATTGTCCTTATATCCATCTTTGGTGGGTATTTTCATTTAATGTAAACCCAACAACACCACCTTTTGTTTTGCAATCACAATTGAATTTCTGTTCTATTGTTTGATCACAAGGTACTGATGAAAAGCCAAACTTATCTTGACGCTAAACAGTCCAGTTTTGGTATAAGTTGTTCTTCAGCTCCTTTACAAGAAAAGAAATATATATATTTTTTTTCCGTTTTTTAAACTCGAATAAAAACTTTTATACACTACAACAAACTAAAAATTATAACAAATTGCATCAGTCAACAAAAGAAAGAATACCTGATTGACTGATGAACAAAATTATTAAACGCTACGGTAAATTCGTTCCCTTAATTTACACATTTATAAAAATGTAAAAATTTCAAACAAATATTTCTTCTATCAATAAATCTTGAGCACATCACGCGTGAAAAAAATGGTGAACAGAAAAATACTTGTTATAGGAAAAGTATGGTGTTTGATGTTGTAAACATTTATCTTTTCGTTTCACTAAACGTTAACACGCAAGTTTACTTACTGAAAACGTAGACCCCAACTTTGAGCAACGGGATGAAAGAAACAAATCGGCCTGCATACGCCCTAATCATAAAAATAGAAACACCTCATGTATAAAAGATTTTTACACATTTACAAAATATAAACTCAAATAACGTTATAACAAGTAAACACATAATAAATAAAATATAAAAGTAATTAAATATATCAACTAAAAAAATATATAAAATAGAAATATTTACAAATTCAACCTTATTTTTGTAATATATATTCAGTGACATAACTCGTAACAAATGTTTTTCAACATTAAAAAATAAACAATCACAAAACCTAGTTTTTTATATTATAAAAACAAACAAATTTTTGTAATTTCTTTACATTAAAAGATCTTGTTCTTCAACATGTATACATTATATTATAACACATTATGTTAAACAATCATTTTATATTACAACACATTATATTACACAATCTTCTTATTGAACATGCGAAATAGAACTGACCGTGAGATGCAAGATTTTTTTTGAGCGTTTGACCTGTATCAAAAGTTTGACCTTTAAAATGAGCATCGTCTTCTAGTCATTAAAAATAAAAATTATAGAAAAATATATTTTAAAAACATGTAACAAAGGACTTTAATTGTGTAATTATTAAAATGCATGAATTAAATATATTATCTGACTTAAAAAGTTACTATACCAGTTTAAAAATAATATAAGATTCGCCTATTACTATAGAAGTCTTAAAGTTGTATAACATAAAAGTTTTAGATCTTATTACAGAATAATCAGATAACAAAAGATTGTAAAAATTAAAGAATACCTTATCGCATCGTCAAAAATATAGAGAGAAATAAAAAGCCAAGAGTGCAAAATCTTCTTTAGTTAGTGTTTAACATTCCATGTCAAACACGTACAACTGCGTAACAGAAGCAGCAGCAGTAGTATTTTATTTAATTTTAATTATAAACAAAAACAAAAATAAAAAGAATTTCTCCACTATTGTGCGGTATTGTATCACATTATATTAACTTTAAATGTTCCAACTAGTATCCCAGCAAATACATCAACGTTAAACAACGTTGAAAAAGCGTTGAAGCATCAGATTAAAAAATGGTTGCTTTTTGTTAAAATGGAAACGCAAGTCTACGTTAAAACCAAACGTTGATATCAAACCAAAAATCAAATTTACATAACTGTCGACTTGTTTTAAGCGTTGATTCAACAAACTTATATACAATTTATGAACCTTACAACATTTATTTTAAATAACTTTGCGTTTTTATGAGTAAAATATTATAAAGAAACAATATTTCTTCATAAATTTTTAATAGGTGTCACAGTACAATATCTTATGTTATTTTACTCCACATTTTTTTTCAATTAATACAGCTTTCTATTTTTAATATTATTATTAATAGTTAATTTTATATTATATAATTACCTGTTGTTTTAGTTTTACAATTAATCTATCCCTTTAACATTTTGTCAACTCTGGTAACTACATTATAATTGGAAGCAAGTAAAACCAAAAAATACTTTAAACATTTTTAAAACAAAAAAATAATTTTAAAATTTTCAAACTATTTTTTAAATAATCTTGATAAAATTATGCTATTGTTATATTTATTATTAGTATCAATATATTTTGTTTTGATGCACGTTTTCCACCAACCAATAATTATGATGTAAAGTTTAAACAGTCTGCCATATAACTTTGTCTTCAGATATATTTATAAGGTGGACTGGTATTATGACCTTCAGAGAAATTTTATTTTGTTAAATAGCCTAATCGCAATTAAATTATAACAATAATGATTTAAAAAAAGCAGAAATGAATACAGTTGCAAGGTTATACTGAGTAGATAAACCAAATTAGACCAGTCTATATAAATGTGATTTAATACTCAACAGGTATATTGAATTATATAGACTAAATAAATAACTTCCGAAACAACCTAACAATAAAACTGAAAAATGACTTTACAATAGAGCTGTGCGACTTAACCAAACTATCTGATATCTAACTATCTTCAATTATCAAATCCTATTTACAAGCTATTTAAAAGCTAATTAAAATACTAAATAAACTCTTTTAAACACACTAAACAGTTCACCTTCTAAGCAGCAGTAACTGCCTTATATTATGCTGGCCTTTATAGTCCAGCGTAACATGAGGCAGTTTATTATTTATTTTATGATTTAAAAGGTAAAAATATGACAGAGATTTAACTATTAAAATAATTTATAAAGATATAATGCATGTAGATTTGCTCAATATCACTAAAAAAAGTAAGATTTTAACATATTATATATATTATATAGTTTTTAATTTTGAAAACAATACAGTTTTCCTATACAATATTTATAAACTTATGTGCTAAACTCATATAACCTTTATTTTGCATTAAAAATAACATTAGTTAGTTGCATTTAAACTTATTAGCTTAATTAAAATAGTCTAAAACTCGTTTGTACGAAAATTTGAGCAAGTAAATGCTGCCCAAGTTTTTACTAAACGTCAATAAACCATCGATCAAAAGCCATAGAATAAAAAGCGTTCTATGAAATTTGCAAATTACACATAGGGTGAATAGCAGAGTTTTTAGCACTGTATTTCTATGTTAATTAATGCAAAAGGTCTCCTAATGAACCAATATCTTACTAAAAAAGACCTAAAAGGAATAAGAATGATGATTATGTAGATAACTATATAAAAATAACTATATACATATAGAAAAACTATACTTAATGTTTACTTTTTAAAGCTGTAAAAAAAAAAAAATTACTACAAATAAATTTAAAAAACTTTAAACGTTATGGTATACGTTGCTATTTATCAAAAGATTGATTATTAATAACAGTCTAAATAATATTTAGAATACATTTTTGAAATGTGAAATGTGAAATGTATACAAAACTATTAATAAAAAACCTTTATAAATAATCATGTATTTGCTTGAAGTGATGTGACTTAAAAATAATGAAACTTCTTAAACTGTTTTAATTTTTTTTTATATAGTACTGTGCAAATTTATAACCTCACCTAAAAATCAAGATCTCACAAATAATTAAATAATTATTTTTAAATTATTTCTATTGCCTAATGTCTTACTTAATTATTACAAATGTTTAATATTTCATTTGTAATAGAGTCTGGTTTCATTTTTTTAATTGATTTGACAATTTTAGAAAAATGATGATGCAAAATTGTTTTGTATTGCTATTTAAATTTATTTTTAATTCTTTGTTTTATTGCCGCCACTCTGAATAACTTCAAACATTCGATTTGGCATACTTTCCAAATGTTTTCTAAGATATGCAAGAAATATGTTCTTCCAAACATGTACAAAAATCTTTTTCAATTTATCAACATTTGAATATTGTTTTCATTCTGCATAAACACATCTTGCTAAGATGCCTCGTATATTTTCGATAAGATTTAACTCAGGTAAGAGCGCTGACTGTTCTAATAATTGAATTTTCTTGCTGGTGAACCATAATATTTGACATTGCTCTATGAGTTGAAGCATTATTGTCATGTGGTACTTGGCCCATTGATAACGAATGCGTTTGTGTGCTTCAGTTAGTACTAAAAATGTGCGTTTTTTTGCATATCTAAGAACGCCTGGCTTGTTAATTGCACGATTCATTGTTCATTATTAGCATTTCAATCCCAAATTACCACCTATTTGTCTTGCGGAGATTGTACGGTTACTGGCGGCATCCAGAATTTGTCGATGTTGGTGAGCTTTAAGTATAGATTTTCTACCACTTCGATGCTTCGTGCTATAATTTGTTGTATCTTTGACGAAATTATTGATCAAACGTTGTGAGCGTTTTAGTTTGCAAGAAATTTTTTTTTTGATAAACCCAATGACCTGTAGCCTTCGACTTTGCCATTTTCATCATTGAAGAGAGTAATTCTTCTTTGCATTAGTTAAAATGTATTTTATAATTTTAAAATGTAACATATTTAATTTAAAAAAAATATTACTGCTATTTCTGATGGCTTTTGATACAATTTAGATAAGGAGGCTATAAATGCGCACTACGTTTATAATTTAATAAATTGACTCAATTAAAATATAGATTTATGTAAATTATTTTCTTTATTTAAAAAATGATCAATAAATAGAACTTAATCAGAAAACTTTGAAAAGATAATTTTAAGGTTTCTATACAGGTGGTGTTATATTTCTGCAACCCACTGTATTTAATATTCAAAAAA